CCAATCTCTATGGCCACCATGCGTTATATCATTTCTTAAAATATTACATTTTAAGAAATGATACATTTAAAATCTCATTTTTAAAATCATTGGAAACTCAATATCATTATTCAAGCTATTCCTTTAAAATCATTTTCTTTAAATATGCTTTGTTCTAAAACATTTTTATTGGCCAAAATCATTTAAAGTAAAGCTAACAAGGATATAAACAAGAATATCCTACCTCTTGGTAATTTAATCTACGGATAACTTCACGTTGTCCAACTGTCTATTCTTGAAGCTCCACGGCTCGCTTTAAACCCCAATGACTCCATTCAATTCGCCCCAATCTGCGTACACAGTACCGGTAGACTTTTCAATATAGTGGAATTAGCACCAACGGATGTCACCATTGTGTACAGCACGTTGAAACGAGTTTAGGATATGGTCTCAAATATTCGATCGGATGTCAGGAACCTCAAGAACTGAGACTAGCCGGAATCCAGCCACCGGTGGTAGCGGCAGCAGCGGCGGGGGTGCCGAAGCACATTTCTGCGGTGGACTTGGGTCCTATCCCCCCTAAATCGACCATTCTAAGTTCAGTGGTGCAGTCAATTTTACCAAATTTGGCCTCTATCTACTCCGATCAAACCCAAAAACGTCGACAAAATCTGGCAACTTGGTTCTCGATTCTCCGGCAATGGAACCTCAAAATTGGCTGAGGGATTTTGTTACCCACTTCTTTCTGAGTGTTGTGGCTCCAAAATCATGACGATCCAATGGTTGGATCATCGAAACCACCCTCCACCCAAACAGCGGCGGATTCGGGCGGCTAAGGGTTGCTTCTTGCTTGACATCTCTACGGATAACTTCACGTTGTCCAACTGTCTATTCTTGAAGCTCTGCGGCTCACTTTGAACCCCAATGACTCCATTCAATTCGCCTCAATCTGCGTACACAGTACCAGTAGACTTTTCAATATAGTGGAATTAGCACCAACGGATGTCACCGTTGTGTACAGCACGTTGAAACGAGTCAGGATATGGTCTCAAATATTCAATCGGATGTCAGGAACCTCAAGAACTGAGACTAGCCAGAATCCAGCCACCGGCGGCAGCGGCGGGGGTGCGGGAGCACAGTTCCGCGGCGGACTTGGGTCCTATCCCCCCTAAATCGACCATTCTAAGTTCAGTGGTGCAGTCAATTTCACCAAATTTGGCCTCTATCTACTCCGATCAAACCCAAAAACGTCGGCAAAATCTAGCAACTTGGTTCTCGATTCTCCGGCAATGGAACCTCAAAATTGGCTGAGGGATTTTGTTACCCACTTCCTTCTGAGTGTTGTGGCTCCAAAATCATGACGATCCAATGATTGGATCATCGGAACCACCCTCCACCCAAACGGCGGCGGATTCGGGCGGCTAAGGGTTGCTTCTTGCTTGACGTCATCCTCTAAGTCCAATGGCACCGGCGGTGTCAAAAACGGAGACCGGAACAGTGCACAATGGAGAGGAGGCATGGCGGCCAAAATGGGCGGCTCCGGCGACGGCGTTCTGGTGAGAATCGGCGGGTGAGACGGCATGTGTTTTGTTCGTCTCGTCGAGCTGAGTCCATAGGGACCGGAATCACCCCGATCAAAGGTCGGACGGCAAAGTTACGATGGCGAGAAGTTTCGGTAGTTTTTTGACATTTCACCGGCGATTGCGACTGTTTCCGGCGGAGTTGGAGGTCGTGCGGCATGTCAACGAGTCCAGCTCGTCGAGATCTTTCCGATGGTGTGGACAGTGTCGCGAAACAACACCAGAATCTCATCGGTGGTTAGTGGCCGGCGTAGAGAGAGAGTGAATGTAGTGAACGTGGGAACGAAAGGGAGAGTGTAACTGGGAAAGAGAGGGAGAGTGTACGTGGGAAAGAGAGAGAATGAGAGAAAAATGAGAAAAAAAAAAGAAAAAAAAAGAACAAGAAAAAATAGATTTAGATTTTATGGGTAAATTTAATAATTAGACTTCAAAGTCTAATTTAAATAGAGTATGTAATGACTCATTATTTAAATTTTGAATAATGAGTTACCAACATTTAAAATTGTTCGAGTGACAATAGTGTCAATTTGAAAACAATCCTTTTTAAAGGAGAAAGGTCTTTTACATGATAATTATAAATGAGAATCTTTCACTAATCTCATATTAATTAACACTAACCACCAGATTTGATTAATTAATCATAATTAATTTAACCAGATGTTACAACTATTTATAATGACTCGCACTTGTTGGGATTTTCATAGCAGCATAATTTTGCAAATTGAAAGATTTGATTTTAGGTTTGATATGGAGATTGATTGTAGCATTGAATTGATTTGAAGATTGATTTGCTACGGGGATCCTTTTTGGAAAGTTTCAGATTTAATTGGTTTTTGATTTTTAGCATTATTTTAGGCATGATTTGATGATGATATGATTACAGAATTGATTGGCAGTTGTTAAAAAAACATTTTGGAAAGTTTAGTTTATATGGAAACTGTTTGGAATCAATCAAATTGATTTGATTTGGTGGAGGTTAATTTTCAGCTAGTTTTTGCAAGTTGAAATTGATGAAATGATTGATTTCTGGATGAGTTTCTACTGGGTTGTACGAATTACTCATGTTTCTGAGGAACACACCCAAGTTCGTCTACTTTTATATGGCAAGATTTCAAGAATCAGCATGGTTGACTTTTTGTCAGATTTTTCAACTCTGCTGCAGTAATTGTTGCAATATAAGCTATAACAGAATGTGTACAGTGGACTGCATTAAAGTTTTTTACAGTTGGTTTTTTTTTTTGGCTATTTAATTGGAGCCTCACAATAATCTCAGTAGGCCTTTGGAGCCTCAGAATTATAGAAAATCAAATCATTTTGTGCGTGTTTGTTTTTTCATGTTCTTCGGGAGAAAAATTTGTAGTCTTTAGGAGAAGACGATTTGAAGTGTTGAAGGGAGTTCAACCAACGTTCTTCGGGAGAAGAATTTGAAGCTTTTAAGAGAGAACGTACTGCCAGCTGAAAGGAGTTCGCCATGCAATTTTTAAGACTAGTGATGCTCCCTAAGCAAGTCCATTGGGTAGTTGCAAGTAATTCATAGGTGTCATACATAGAGAGGGAGTCTCGGGATAATTAAGTTCATTTTAGTTATAATATTATTTACTTAGTAGATTGTTCATTATTTGGGTGTGGTCCCGCAGAGTATGTGGTTACCGAACCGCGATACTAAATAACCTGTATATTTTTACTATTTCACAGGTTTCTTATATTTGTTGTAACAAATTTAATAACGAACTTAATAAAGAGACTAAACCGGTACCAAGAGCACTTTTACTTGATATGGTAGATAGTGCCCTTATTTATAAACCATCACTCATAACTTTTGTAAGACAGTATGAGATTATACAATTTACCATGACTAACACATAATATGTAATGAGTTATTATTATGAAAATTGTTCATGAGAATATATTTCATGTATTCTTTTTATTTTACACGTGTGATTCCAAAGGGGTTATATATCTTTCTAAGCTTATTGATATTAGTGTCAATATATATAAGACAGAGACAATATATCTCTTAGAGTGCATGAGTTTAAATTTTTACCATTTATTTTTAATTAATATTTTCTTTAATCAAATAATTATATTAGTTAAAAAAAGTATTAATTAAGAGTAAATGATAACATTTTAGGGTAAGTTTCACATTTTTCATATATATACGTGGTGTCATTCTTTAGATTATATATATATATATGGTGTCATTTTTAGATCTAATTTTTTTCTCCATTAATTTTATTAGACATACATATATTTAAACTCAATAAATCAATGAGAAGTAAATCCTAGCCTAGTTGTGGGATTGGGGCAAGGATTTGGATTATATAAAGATTATTTTCCATAATACAAGCTATGACTCCTAATTCTTGGAAACTTTATCTATTTATTTGGCTATGTTTATCTGGAGAGGAATTTCTTACAATGACAATGATGTAAATAAAGTTGTTGTATCAAACATCACATGCGATACCGTTGTGTTGGGAAAATAGAATTAAAAAAAAATGCACATATCTCAAGGAGAAGGCCACGAAAGAAAATAATTAAAAAAGAGAAAGAAAAAAAGACCAAGAAAATGGGAAAGAGAAAGACCACAACCATAACGTGAAAGATGCATTATAATAAATTCTTTTTTCGGTAATGCACCAATGCTACAATATGTGTTATTTTTAAGATGTATATACAGTTAAAATCTCAACCATTAAATTTGGTTTAAAAACGAAGTCATTCGTTAATTTTTTTTTTTTTTAATTTTAATCTGGTGAGCTGACAATTTTTATTTTTATTTTTATTTTTCTCTTCCTCCGATGCTTGAAAAATGAGACGTATGTTCATCCTAAAATTTGGAGATGTATCCTCGTTCTAACATAAAAAGTTTTTGATGGAAGACTTCAATTCGTTGACCTAGACAAAAGTGAGAACCAATACACACATAAGTAAATAACAAATTCACTCTTTCTCTTCTCTCTTTTTTCTGGGTGGTCTTTTCAAGCAAATCCTCTTAAATCCGGAAGAATTTGTTAAGATGGCTACTCAATAAAGTAAAATTAGTAAAATGATCTTTAATTTTTACACTGAACGGTCATTTGGTCAAATATTGTAAAAAAGTGTCCGTGCGGAGTCGTTCCAAATCATTTTACAAATTAAAATTTTTGTAAAATTATTTTACTGAACAACTCTAATCTAGCGACCAATCACTTTATAAATTTTTGTAAAATTTTTTATTAAGAAAATTTTTTCCGTCACAATGGTTCCCACCAAACTTAAACTTGTCATTAAAGAACAACTCTAATCTAGCGACCAATCACTTTATAAATCCATTGTCTTTTTTATTCTCTCCTCTTCTCTTCTTCATCATCATCTTTAGACCCCAAATTTCCCGGACACCTCTAAGAGAGACAATATATATCACTTGAAAAGACTTGGAAGTTGATCTCAATATTCACCATGTCTGAGATAGTCAACGAGGCTTGGCAAAAATACCTTAAGCAACTTCAGCTTCATCCTCTCAGAACCAAGGTTTTTTTTTTTTTTTTTCTAAATCATACCCAGTTTAGCCTTTTGTGTTTATTATACTTATATTTCTAAAAATCTCTCTCTCTCTCTCTCTCTCTCTCTCTCTCTCTCTATATATATATATATATATATCTCTCGTGATAGTTTTCCTTGATGTGTTTGAGTACTATTATGTGTTTTTGGTTAACACTGTTTTTTTCTGTTCTAAATCTTTTTGGGTTGGTAGGCAATAACAGCAGGGGTTTTAGTTGGGTGCAGTGATGCAATAGCCCAGAAGATCTCTGGGGTCAAGAAGCTTCAATTGAGAAGATTGATTCTTATGATGGTATCCCTTATTTTTGAACGCTATTGATTTATGTTCAGTTTGTTTATGTCTTAAGATTTAATTTATATTTCTACTAGATCATGTTCATTCTCTTTCTTATGTTGTTCTGTTTTCAATGAGCTGCTATGGCTTAAAGAAGCACAAAATCAGAGAAAGCAGGAAACTAGTATGGGAAAAAAAGTCAAAAGACTCGGGGGTTGTTCTTTTGCAATAAAATTCAGAAAAAATTTGCATTCGAGTTGCAACTTTATTCAAATTCATGTTCTTTTGTAAAATTTGAGTTTGAACTCGAGTTTGAACTCGAGTTTAAACTCGAGTTTAGGACTAAACTCGAGTTCAAGTTTCCCCTTCAATTCGAGTTCATAAACTCGAACTCAAGTTAATGAACAATATTTTTTCTATTCTTAAAAATGTCATAATTTTTTCGTTTTAATTCTGATTGAGATTATTTTTTTCTATGCATTCACAACGAAAAGACGAATAAAACATCATCTATATACCCTATTAAAATTTTTTATCACCATTGAGTTTTTATTAAAATACTATCTAAATACAAATTTAAGTTTTGACTCACTCAAACACAAACTCAAAAAGATTCGCAATTCAAATCATAACTCAAATGTGAACATCCAAACACAAACTCAAGTTACAACTTCAACTCAAGTTATAATTCAATCTCAACTCAAGATCATCACTCAAGTCATCCTAACTAAAAAATATAAAAGAACAACTCCTCAATTTTGTTTGTTTGTTCTTTTGTTTTTTTTTACAAATTCATGTCACAAAAACTGTACGTAATATTTAAATAGGTGGTAAACCCTGTATTTGGATGGAATTCATGCCCCATTTCTTGGAAATTAGCTGGGGCTAAGCTTTTTTGGATATCTAATTTATATGAATGGTTGGTCTTGTGCCATGGCTGTGTTTTAAGCATTGATAGTAACCCAAGCTTTTTTTGTAGTTCTATGGATTTGCATACTCAGGACCATTTGGGCACTTCCTCCACAAATTAATGGAGATTATATTCAAGGGAAAGAAGGGCAAGGAAACTGTTGCTAAGAAGGTACACTTCTACATATTATGCTTGCAATTTTTTATTTATCCAAATATTGATGCATGGAATTAATTTCCTTTTATCAGGTGTTGCTGGAACAATTAACAACTTCTCCGTGGAACAACTTCTTTTTCATGATGTACTTTGGCTTGGTTGTTGAAGGTATATAAATATATATATATATATGTCTTGTTTCAGGCTCTCTTTAATTATATATAACATGGTAGATATGTCATTACTTTGAACCTGTAACGCTTGGTTAAGTAGCAGTTATATTTCTCTTGCTTCCTGTTCCGTAGTTCTAGTAGATAAATAGGACTTAACTTTTCCGGTCCAATTGATTTTAGCCGTTATCTTTAAATGTCTTTGTAGGCTGTAGCAACTGCAATACTAATTATTGGTTTAATTTCAAGAGCAAGTTGTATTGTTGTACCTTTTTTTCTTTTTTCTTTTTTCTTTTTTTTGTATTATGCACCCCAAATGTTCAATTATGATAAGTTATACCTTAAACTTTAAAATGAGTAGCAATTGAGATCCAATAACTAATAAGCGTCATCAAATTTATGGTTTGAATGCACAAGTCTAACTGCAATACTAATTATTGGTCCAATAGCTAACTTCTCCGGATCATGATTGAATCATGTGTCATTGTATCCTAAATGTCAATTTGATAACGGTCATAAGCTATTGGACTTTAATTGCTATTTATTTTAAAGTTCATGGTGTAATTTGTCAAAATTAAAAGTTTATGATGTATTATGCGAAGAATAAAAAGTTTACAGTATGACAATGCAATTTACTCTAATTTAAATGTAGTCAAATGTAATTAAGAGCACCTAACTCTATTTGCCAGTATTGGCAATAAAGTGGTACCTCATATAAATAAGGGGTGTAACTCGGCCGGGTAGGCTCAGGTTGAGCTTGAAATTTGGGCCGAGCCGCACAGGTCCGGGTGAGAGAAATGTAAGCCGCAACACTCCCATTGGCCCACAAACCCGTAACCCTTTGGGTTACCTCGGGTAGGCTTAGTTTTGCGGGTTGATCGGTTTGGTGGAAACAGAGGAAACAAAGAAAATCAAAGTTCTTTCCCCAAAAATCTCAAATTTTCTCCATACCCAGATGTGAGAACATACGAAAGATCCCAATAAACTAATATATATATATATATATAAACTTATTTCTTTCCCCATAATTTTCCAGCAACCAGAAAAGATAACAAACAAAAACCCACGAACAAAGACAGCAAAAGAATCAAACAATGACACATTGAAAGCAAAGTAAGCACCTTTTGGGGGTGAACCAGAAAGGTATAACAGGAGAAGTACCACCGGAAAAACTCGCCATGAGCGTCTCCGCAGAGACTTGGCCTCTTGAGAAGGCTTTTTCTTCTTCTCTACTTCGTCTTGAATTACCATACAATAACAAAGAAGAAGAAGAAGAGGAGGCGGCAGACATCGTCTGTGAGAAGAAGAAGAGGAACGGAGCGTCGGAGCCAGAGAGACTGAGAACTGAGAAAAAAAACTGAAAACTGAGAAGTGAGAAATAAGGCAGTGGCGAGGGGAGGCGAGGAATCTAGGGAGGCGAGACTGAGAAGTGAGAAGAAAAACTGAGAATGGAGAAGTGAGAATTGAGGCGGCGGCGAGGGGAGGCGAGGGAGTGAGAAGTGAGAGAGACTGAGAAGTGAAAGTGATTAGGGATTTAGGGTTTTTTTTTAAGACCCTCCATCTTCACACGGCCGGGTCAGGGTGTATCGGGTGACATGATGCCCGCCCCGCCCCCCAACCCGCACTATGCGGGTTGGGGCTATTTTAATCCGAAAAAAATAAATAATAATAATAATAACCATGCTTTCAGGTAGGATCGGGTCGGGTTAGTCGGGTTTCGGACTGAAATCTTACCGCCCTAATATAAATAAAGGGTTATTCTAAATTCTATTTCAGAGTTATTTATCATATTCTTATTGAAGTACTCTTCTTGATATTTTTCTTGTTTGAAGGAATAATCCACTTTAGTTCGCTTGAGCATCTTGAAAATATTCTAATGTTATTGCCCTATTATCTTATTAACTTATTAATAAGAGTCAGATAATCTAAAATTTGAGCTCAATCCAACAAAATACAACGACTATATATATTCATCTTATACGTTCCCAAAGCCAAAGTAAAGTCTTTTATGTTTATGGTTTGGGATTACAGGAAGGCCATGGGATTTAGTGAAGAGTAAAGTAAGGAAGGACTACCCATCTGTTCAGTTGACTGCATGGAAGGTACGGAACACTGTCATGTTATAGATAATTCTGTGGTGGCGTATGAAAAGTAGTTTATTGGTAAAATATAGATTTTAACCATCAAATTCCATTAAAATTTTTGTTAAAATGTCTTTTTTTTTTTAATACGATATGATTATGATGTTATTTGATAATTAAGAACTTTGTTATGTACAGCTTATGTTATGCTAATTATTGGTGCAGTTTTGGCCTATAGTTGGTTGGGTGAATTACCAGTATATGCCTCTGCAGTTCCGAGTTCTATTTCACAGCTTCATTGCCTCATGCTGGTACATCCTACAGCTTTCTAATTGCAATTTGATAATTATAAAATTGAACCGTACTGGTAATGTTAGATTATATATATATATATATATATATAAATTTCAACGATAACTCATCAAATTTACTGATTCATTTCATGTATATCTACAGGAATCATTAAGTAGATCAACTAATAACTCTTATTTTTCTTGCTGAATTCAGGGCGATCTTTTTAAATCTAAAAGCAAGATCTGTAGCAATCAAGAAGGCGTAGAATGGAGAAAAATTTCTTCCCTTTTTCTTTTTAATTTGGACTAGTTTTTTTATAAAGGAAATTTGAACTTCTTGTAGTTGGCAAAAAATAAAAATAAAAAAAAAAATAAGTGTGGAAATAACATATTTGATATATCGTTGTGTTTCAATGAATATTTTGTGCTTCAAGGGTAATACTACATAAAATGTTATATTTTTTCATAAATTTTAAACTTTGATACTTATATAAGTAAACTTTTAATTTTTAACTAATTTAAAAATGAATATATTGTAATTATTAGATAGCATCATCACATCAACCAACAGTTATCAAATACAAAACTTTCACACATATTATACTCGATTCAAATAGCATATGCCAAATTTGCTAACCAAAAAAAAACAACTTTCATTGCAGTGGTTTAGGGAATATTATGCTAACCAAAAAAAACAACTTTCATTGCAGAGTGGTTTAGGGATGGCAATATTCCCAGTAGGGATGGCAATATTCTCAGTAGGGACAGGCCCGTGGGGAATTGCACTGAATAAAGCA